AATTGGTTGCTAGGGTGTTGCTAAGGAGCTGGTATACTATCCCAGGTGGGTGCTAGGGTGATGCTAGGTGGTTGCTATGATATCCCGGTTATTTCATACGGTGTTGCTACATGGTTGCTTTGATATTAAAGTTGGTTTCAAGGGTGTTGCTAAGTTGTTACTTTGCTATTCTAGTTGGTTGTTATGATATTCCAAGTGGTTGCTACATAATGATCAAGTTTCATGTTGTAGCTCCTATGTTTTGGCCTGCATAAACTCTTCCCAACATCCATTTTGGAGTGTTGTTATGCGGCAACTGTAATTCCAATCTTTCCCAAAAGCATAAGCACCTCATTTCCATATGGGATCTAATTCAGTGCTGAATTTTGTGTTTCTGCATCAAAAATTGCAGCCCATGAAAATGATTAAAAAAAATTTGAGTAGAATAATAATATGATGATAAGTATGGAGTCTGTCAAGCCAACATAATTAAGCATACTAAAACTTTTGAATTCTCCATTAAATGAAATTACATTTGAATGAAAATGCAGATATTAATATTTTATTTAAAATCTGTATTTTCATTTGAATGAAAATACAGCTTAATATTTAGAAAAAGATACATCAATATGTATTTCTGGAGTGGACTGGCAAAGAACCCAGGACTACAGTGTACACTGGCGAGGAATCCCAACCAATATGTTACAGAAGTCAGTGGAATTGGCTCATATTCCTTTGGGTAGCTGCTGGAAATATAAATTATTATTACAAGAACAGTGATGTGGTATTGTTGTACTGTTTTGGCAGGCAATGCTATGAGAGCCTGTGTGTGTGTCTAGACTCCTGGGTTGTCTGCCTTATACTCTCTTAGAACCAGTGCATTAGCGTAGATCATATCAGAATTTTCATATATAGGCTCAGGAATGGAGTCCTCTTTAGGCAGCAGAGAATCCATGATGCACTGGTGCAGGAACACATACTGAGACTGTGGGAGAGAAAGAGAGATAATTCTGCTTCAGTAAATAGGGGTCTCCATGTCTGTTTTAATTTAGGAATATGTCAGCTACCCTCTTTTTCCAGCAACAGAAACTGAAATGACTGCTCACTTACATTCTTTGTGCCTGAGAGCAATTTGCATACACCTTTGATACATTTTTTGTGCAGTGTTAGCATGGTCATGGTGAGTAGCTCAACCCCAGCAATTATCAGGAAGGCTGAATTACAGTTTTGTTAAAGATATAAAAAGGAATTAAATTAAACTTTAAAACGTGCTATAAAACTAATGTATGTGCTGGGCTAGTTAATGAGATATTATAGTGTTATGTCACAAGTGATATCACAATAAACTGAACTGAGCAATAATAAAAAAATATATATATATATTGTTTTGGCATTGTCTTTAACAGTCTTTACTCACAAAACATATTAACACATAAAAATAACTTGATCAATGAGACATCGGGTCAATATGCACCAACAGATTACATGGTCTACAGTGAACCTCATTTATCACGCTGGATATGAACAGATTTATTCTCAAATCGTTTGTATGAGTGTTTACACAAGAAATTTGGTATTCATGAAAATCCTGTAATTGCAGAAAGACATTCGTGCTTCCTAAATGTGTGTAAATGTACGGATAAGAAAACTCAACTTGATTGACTTGAAATCGTATAATTTGCATGGATTACTGCACATTTATATAAGGAATATACAGTTGAGTTTAAATTGCTTATTTCTGTTACATTTACAGCATTAAACAGATGCCCTTTTCCAGTGCAACTTTTGGAAATGCTTTGTAGTCTAGCAAAAACACACCCTCATGCTAGTTCACTAGGTCAGCGACTAATAGTGCCATTGAGAAAATCTGGTGTAAACCAGTCCCTCTTAGACAAAGGCACAAATGACCTCTTGGAAAAGATGCAAATTTCCCCTCTTTTCCTCTTGGACAAAGACAAGAAAAAATTAGGTTTGCCTTGCAAGGGCAGGCAATCCAATTCAAAGTTCTACCCACTGGCCTCTGTCTAGCACCAAGGATATTCATAAAATGCATTCAGGTGGCCTTGTAGCCTCTGATGGCAACATTCCTAAGAATACTACTATATCTGGATGCTTGTGTTAGAGTCACTGACATCCTCCTCGTATGAGCTCATACAGGATGTTGAACTGAAATGGTTCTCTGAAGTCTGCATTCTGCTAGCAGACACTTCAGCAAGAAGAGTAGGAGGTCTGCATGTTTTGGCTGTCCACCCTGCATATGCTGGTGGCAAGATGATGTGGGAACACACCTGTAGCCAAATCTGGGGTTCCTGCCTAAGTTGATATCACCCACTGACCAGTTGAATGGTTGACCTGGCAGCATTCAAAGAAGGGAAACCACTAGGCTGTTTCACATTCACAATGTATGTATGATGATTAAACCGTATCATTAATAGAGAGTACAAGGACTGCCGACCTGAGTGCGTGAGTGAATTGAGCATAGACAAAACTATTTGCAGAGCTTTTGCTTCACTTTCACTAAGGGTCTAACAATACATTCTAGTCACAATTCATTTCAATTCACAATACTGGCTTTACAATTCGATTCAGTTCAATTCTCAGAATATTTTGAACAAAATTTGAATGAAGAAAATGACTGAAAAGACTCCTTTTTTATTCTGAATCATAAAAAATGTATAAAAAATATATGGAAGAAAATAACAGTCTATTAGTGTAATAATATTGTTTGCAAAGATAAATAATGAATTAAATGAATAATGATAGTCAAACATGCATGGGGTTCTGATGTGATAAAAACAAGTTAGTAAAGCTGCCCCTTTAAGGTTTGTGTTTCTCCGCTTGCACGTAATTCACACACACCTAACACACTTAATTCATTTCATCAGGTAATTATAACTTGCTTCAGGAGTTAAGCTTTCCTGAACAGTATTATGCTCTTAACAGTTTCTCAGGCCCTTGTGGATACTCATAATGGTCCTTTACTGTGCTGTCCTTATAATGACCCCTACCTGAGTCTGTACCATGAGAGGCCGGGAAAGCCTCATGCGATGTATACAGTCAGCAACGCTGACCACTTCCTCTTTGTCCATCTGCTGCAGTAACAAATCAAGGGCAATTAGAGTACCTGTCCTACCCACTCCAGCACTGCAGAGAGACATACAAAAATAAGTAGTAAGACTTTAGGAGGTTTTTTAATAGATTGTGAAGTGGAAAAAGATGCATGTTATTACTTCTGGGTGACTGGGGTTGTGATGTGTTTAGCTGAATTGAACTACTGTGAAGAGCATACATGCAGTGTACATCAAGTACATCAAGTAATGTGATTTTATTTTATTTTTTTACCTGCAATGTACCACGGTAGGTCCACTAAACGGAAAGGTCTCGATGTGCTGACGAACAATCCAACGGAACTGAATCAACTCTTCTGTTCCTTTAGGAACTCCATGATCTGGCCATGCTGTGAAATGGAAATGTGTTACTCCACGCTCCTCAGAGGTAGATTCCTACACACACAAGTTTGGGGTCATAAGTTTACATACACCTTGCAGAATCTGCAAAATGTTAATAAAATAAGATCATAAAAATTGCATTTTGTTTTTTATTTAGTACTGCCCTGAATAAGTTATTTCACATAACAGATGGTTACATATAGTCCAAAAGACAAAATAATAACTGAATTTACACAAATAAACCAGTTCAAAAGTTTACATACGCTTGATTCGTAATACTGTATGTTGTTACCTGGATGATCAATGACTATTTTTGTTTTGTGATAGTTGTTCATGAGCTCCTTGTTTGTTGTGAGCAGTTAAATGGCCCACTGTTCTTCAGAAAAATCCTCCAAGTACTGCACATTCATTGCTTTTCCAGTATTTTCTGCATATTTGACCCCTTTCCAACAGTGGCTATATAATTTTGAGATCCATCTTTTCACATTGAGGGCAACTAAGTGACTCATGCTCAACTGTTACAAAAGGGGCAAACATTCCTTGATTCTCAAGAAGGCAAAACAATACATTAAGAGCCAGGGGGGTGTAAAATTTTGAACAGGATGATCGGTGAAAATTGTTAGTATTTTGTCTTCTGGGAAACATGTAAATATCTTATGTATCTTCTGAAGGGCAGTACTAAATGACAAAAACTAAATAAATCAAACAAAATAACAATTTACGCTGATCATCCTGCTCAAAAGTGTTGACTGCACTTGCATCAACACCCCTTTGGACCAGATACTGAGAGTTCTCATGAACAGCTACCAGATGCAAATTCAACACTTAGAATCAACTCCAGGCCTTTTATCTTCTTAATTTGTCATAAAATAATGAGGAAACAGACCACACCTGGCCATAAAACTGCTTATGAGTTGTCAAATATCAATTGTCCAATTACTTTTGAGCCTGTGAAAATTGAGGGACTTCGTGAAAAAAAAAAGAAAAAAAAAAGACTAATTCTTAAAAGGTTAATGCAAATCTTTGTTAAATGCATTAAATAAAAGCTGAAAGTCATCTTGATTGCTTGTGTGTGTGTGTGTGTGTGTGTGTGTATCATACTGCATAGCATAAAAGGTTACACTGTGTTGTTAGTTTCATCGCTGGGCTCACATTTCTCACAACAAATTCTCGTCGAGTCCAGCAACTTTCTTTCTGCTCTGACTGGACAGAGACTCGCAGGTTTCCATAGAGGTAGGGCATGTCATCCACTGGCCAATAATGCTCACATTTAATCTGCAGAGAAAGAAAAATGAGGGGCCAGAGAATTGAACGCCACATTCCATTCTGAAGTGATGAAACCTACACAGAGCACTTCAAAGGTTCAAACTGAAGTTTTACATTAAGTAACAGGAAACTGTAACTAAAAGGAACAAATCATCTGAAAGTTTTGCTGTGGCAAATCATGTTTTTGCTATCACTTTTATCACTACCTAAAGTAACAGCCCATAACCTGTGTATTTGTATTTGTTTTTATCTCTAATTTTATGAAACTTCGAAAGTAATGAAACTTTATTACTAATGAGTATGCCAGCATGGTGGTGCAGTGGGTAGCACTGCAGCCTCACAGCTCCAGGGTCCCCAGTTAGATCCTGGGTTCCTGTCCGTGCAGACTTTTGCCTGTTTTCCCCTTAGTCATGTGATTTTCCTCCAGGTTCTCTGGTTTCTTCCCACTATCCAACAACATGCAGGTAGGGGAATTGCCCCTAGGTGTAAATGTGTGTGAATCGTGCCCTGTGATGGACTGCCATCTATACTGGGGTGAATTCTTCCTTGTGCCTTCTTTTCCCATGATAGTCTCCAAAACCACCACAACCCTGACCAGGATAAAGCAGTTACTCAAGAATGAATGAAAAAACCTGGTGTTCTTCAAGTTGAGATACTCGTTCTTGTTTGCATAAGTGTCTGAGATTGTGTGATGACAGAGCACTGGCTCCAGCTTTGAAAAACTGACTCGTAGCAAGATCCAAATGGTTCCCCTATAGAGGAAGACCTTTCAGCTTTGTGACTGTGAAGTAGGAAGCCTTCAGAGGAAGTACTGTATAGTCATAATCACTTCAGAATGGACAAAAGCCTGAAAAAACAGGTCTTACCATTACTACATTAAGGCATTATTCATTCCCTGGAGAACATTTAAAAGTGTATTTTAGGTGGCACTTTTGTTTAACATTCTCAAAAGCATACCCTTCCTCCCTCAGTACAGTTGGTCAGCATGACAATGGCTGAGGACTTCTGCTCCCACACCATTCTCCAGAAGTCACTGACAGTGGAGGGGAGAGGACCCTGAGCAGCAATGTACTGCTTGTTTTTCTTGCCATAACCCTAACAAACAGAAACTCATCATAAAACATTCTCTTAGATTAAGTCATTTTAACAGGGGCTTCTATGATGTCCTTAAGAACACTGCTAATATGTCAGTTACATTATAGCATCAGTTCTTTCATCACTTGCCTAGTGTATATTACCAGATGTGTCATACACTAAGTGTGCTGCTGAAAGACTTACATGAATGTAGTTAGCATTGATGTAGTCCATATCAGAGCCAGTCTGTGCAGCAAGCTTCACACGAGATACATCATCTGGAGAGTAAAAAAATGATGAATATTTTAACAACTTTTACCCAGACAACCATAACCATAAAATGAACAAAACGGCAATAAAACACAGGTTTTCACTAAATGTTGCAAGTCTATTTGTGCTTAACACTCACAGGGCAGTACATTGGTAAATCGGTTCTTGCTCTTGTTTTCAGGAAGTGTAGCAACTGTACAACTCTGATCTGTACCCACTGTACTTAAATCCTGTAACCATCATGTGGAAAAAGATGACATTATTTATCCAAACTCATTTAGTGCTTAATGATTACACTGATCTCAGTGAGCACATTAAACCGAGGCACATTAGAATGGACACCAACATACACACAAGCTGTGTTTCTGTACCTCATATTCCTCACTGAAGCCACGGTTCTGATCACCACTCATGGAGCTAAAGTGCATTGGAAACTTCTTCAGGGGAATTGGTCTGAGGAAAAAAAAAAATAATAAGCTCAGTAAGCAGACCTTATACCTTAATATAATATGTATAAATAAAAAGTATGTAGTGAATCCTACTTACTTGTATTTATTACTGGACAGTTTCGTCTCATTAGAGGATTTAAACATGCTAAAAATTCAAAGCAATTACACAAAGATGGACAAAGTCTGAATTTAGGCAGTGTTTAACAAATTGTATATAGAAAATCTACCAACGCTGTAATAGACAGGTGATCCTAATAGATCCTAATATCATTTTATTGGCCAGATACACTTACGGGTCACTTTAATAGGAACACCTGTACATCTGCTCATTTACGCAGTTATCCAATCAGCCAATCATGTGGCAGCAGCACAATGCATAAAATCACAGAACTGTCGCTCACTCAATGTTTTTTTTTTTTTTTGCACCATTCTGTGTAAACTCTAGAGACTTTTGTGTGTGAAAATCCCAGGAGATCAACAGTTTATGAAATACTCAAACCAGCCCTTCTGGTACCAACTTCCATGTCACGATCAAAGTCACAGAGATCATACTTTTCTTCATTCTGATGTTTGATGTGAATATTAAAGCTCTTGACCTGCACCTGTATGCTGCCACATGATTGGCTGATTATGATGTGAAAGTGTACAGGTGTTTCTAATAAAGTGGATGGTGCATGTGTTATATATATATATATATATATATATATATATATATATATATTATATATATATACACACACACATACACACACACAGAGTCAGATCCACACATATTTGGACAGTGACACAATTTTTTTATTTTTGCCTCTGTACACCACCACATTGGATCTGAAATGAAGCAATCAAGATGTGACTGAACTGTAGACTTTCAGCTTTAATTAAAGGGGTTATATTGCATTAACTGTTTAGGAAATACAGCCAATTTTTACATAGTCCCTCCATTTTCACAGGCTGTAAATATAAGGATTTATTTTAATATTCAATGATTGCCTGAAATTTGGAACCCATGGACATGATCAGATGCTGAGTTTCCCTGGTGCTTTGCCAGGCCTTTACTGCAGTGGTCCTCCAGGCCTTTCGGTGTTGCTGAGCTCTCTAATGCATTCCTTCTTTTTAACAATGTACCAAATTATTGATTTGATCACTCCTAAAGTGTCTGCTATCTCTCTGATAGTCTCCCTTACTTGCATCAACACCTCTTTGGACTGCATATTGAGAGCTCCCATGAACAGCTTCCAAATGCAAAATCAACAATTGGAATCAACTCCAGGCCTTTTAATCTCCTTAATTTGTAATGGAACAACAGGCCACACCTGGTCATGAAACTACTTATCAGTCAATTGTCCAGTTACTTTTGACCCTGTGAAAATGGAGGGACTATGTAAAAAAATGGCTGTAATTCCTAAATGGTTAATTCAATATTTTTGTTAAAGCCCTTGAATAAAAGCTGAAAGTCTACACTTCAATCACATCATGATTGTTTCATTTCAAACCCATTGTGGTCGCAAAATTACAAAAATTGTGTCACTGTCCACATACTTATGGACCTGACTGTATATGCTAATGACTAATTATGCTACAAAGCCTACATCTGACTATCACACCCATATGGGCTTGTTGAACATCCCAGTTCAAAATCATTAATATGGAGTTGGTCATCCCTTTGCTGCTATAACAACCTCCACTCTTCTGAGAAGGCTTTCCACTAGATTTTAAAACATGGCTCATTCATCCACAAGAGTATTAGTGAGGTCAGGCACTGATGTCGGGTGAAATCTGAGTTCCAATTTATCCCAAGGGATTATATAACAGCACACCCCACTGTGTTTTATTTCTTACTTAACTGCCATTAACGCTGCTTTCAGTAAATTGGACAGCACTGAAATTAATCATGGTGGGAAACCTCCTAATTGTTACCATGTGTGGCAATTGAGCCCACACACACACTCTCAAAACCAACAGCAACACCTACCTGGATAGCTCTGGCTTGTGATGCCATATATAGATACCAATACAGAGGATCAGAATGGCCAGCAGGAGGAATGTTAGAACACCTGCTATGACTCCTGTAAAATATGTGTTTACAGTTACCTATATATAGTTTGGAGTTGCAAATATATCCAAATAGGTGAGGATTAAAGGACAAGCCACCATTACATGGTGGGACACCATGAATCATCAGAACATCTTAAATGCCATAGAATATATTTTATAAGTCTCTGGAACTGTACTGGAGAGATGAACACTATTCTTCCAAAAAGATATTCCCACAATTGTTCTTTTAATGATTGTAGTGGAGGACCAGAACAACTGTTTTTTCTTTGTAACCTGTCTTAATTTTTCTGTATGATTTTTGTGTAAAACAACCACATGTTCAGTCTCTCTTACCTCTTGGGTCAGTCTGACAGGTAATTGAAACTGGGACACTCTGCATAGGCCCAGAGAGTGCAGACACAGTAAGGGTGTACCACTGGGCAGGCAGCAGTCCATCGATATACAGTCTTTCCCCTGTGTAACTAAAGCTTTTGCTGCTCATGTTGACCTGTACAGCTGTCCTCCCACCATTTGGAGGATCCCAAACAAGAGTTAGACCATAACCCCCTGATGAATACTGACAGTGTAACCCAGTGACACTATTTGGAACTAGGTAGGAAAGAGTCACAGTAAATACAGAGCCCATGCAAAATGAATAAATAAAAAAAATATTGCAATCAAGGTGTAAAATACTGGCCTAATTAACCTGTTTGACCCCACAAAATCATGGCTTTAGTTCCCCTTCCAAAATGTGAAAACGAAAGCAAAGCTCGAAATGTAAAAAACCTAGGCCACTAGACATAGCAATGTAAAGAGTTGATGTGAGGGCTACATGTGTGTGTGCATGAATATAATAGGCCTATTGTGTCTGTACATGTGTGAGTCTTTGTCTGATCAATAGAGAGAGTCATTGCAATGTTAAGCAGAAGCAGGCATATGTGAGGTTATGTTGAAGATCTTTATTTTATATTGTTTTTATTCCCTCTGACTGAATTTTGTTATTGCAATTACAACCTTCTACATAATGTAATGGGTTGCACCCAGTGTTGCATATGTCATGGCCAATAGCTCTTAGGTATGATGCTGGCCAGGTGTATACTGGTTACATGTTGTTGTTTTTTTATTATTGTTTTTTTCCAGAATGCGTAGCCTATTTGTGCATGATGCGATTCATCCGGTACAGTATGCTATGTATATATAATTGGTAGCATACAAGATTGTTAATTTATATTCCATGATACCAAAGTAATACTTAAGTGTTCAGTACACATAGGGATGCCCTGATTACTATGGGGTATTTCACACACTGATTGCAATATATAGTACCATATATATTTTTTTAAAAACAGAAAACATACTGACCAGTGACACTTGTAATGTGGTAGCCTCTGCTTTCCACTCCCTTAAATACAGTATAGAGAGTAAAGGTGTATTCAGTCCCAGCAGTAAGATCAGGGACTGTGTAGGTCACTGCAACACCTTCTTCTGATCCACTTAGGCTGATGTTCTTACTATTGTAGCTCAGTCTGTAATTGTAATTGTTGTTGTTGTCCACTT